TGGGCATTGCATTAAAGGCAGATTAAAACAAGGGGCCACCCTTTTGAATGCAAAAGATTGCTGAAAAAAAGGGTGCAGATCCTACGGTGAAGGGTTGACAGGACTGGGTTAGGGTGAGCCCAGAAAAGATTTAGGGGGGGAGTGTGTGTGTGTGTGTGTTTTCTCTGCCCTCAAGTCAAAACCAACTTCTAGCGGCCCTAAAAGGACTTCCAAGGTAAGTGAGATGTTTAAGGAGTGCCTTTACTGGTTCCTGGTTCCCCTGTCAGTTTCCATGGCTGAGCCGGGATTCGAACTCAGGACTCCTTGTCTGCTACTCTCTCCACCATGCCGCACGGGGGAACACACTCTTCTTAAAATACGGACGCAGCTGCCCCCACCTAAGAGGTTCTTCTGCTCCTCCTGCGGAGTCTGAATGTTGGGGGAGATTCCTTTACAGGAGCCGGCGGGAACAGCTCCGTGAGTTAGGTTGGGAGTTCGAATCCTCCCCACTTTGCCTCCCGAGAGAAAAGCCAGCCCGGGTGGCCTTGAGCAAGGTGCCCAGGATTTCCGCCTAAAATCAGGAGAGAAACCACTTAAACCAGAATGAGCGTCCCAATAAAGGAAAAGCCTCAATGATGAGCCGGCGAAGGTTTCCTACCTCTGGATTTTCTCCACCGACTCTGGGGGGAAAGGGTCTGAAAGGGTGGACTAGATGACCTCCGGGGATCTCAGAGTCTCTCCTTCTGTGAGTCCCTCGGTCGGGGTCCTCACTCCCTCTCTGGATCACGTTTTAGGGGGTGGCAGCTGAGAGGTTTGGCCTCCTGCCACCACCACCGCCGCCATGTCCGAACGGGAGGAACGGCGCTTCGTGGAGATCCCCCGGGAGTCGGTGCGCCTGATGGCGGAGAGCGCCGGGGTCGAGCTGACCGAGGAGGTGGCGGCCATGCTGGCCGAAGACGTCTGTTACCGCCTGCGCGAAGCCACCCAGGTGAGCAGCCAGGTCTCGGTGGGCAGAGCGCCCGTCCCTGGCCTCATTTACGGTCTTCGGGTCCCGTTAACGCCGAAAACGAGGCCGGTGGCCACCCCTGAAGACACTGAGGAGCGGCCTTTTTTAAAAAACAGAGCATTTCTGCAGCATTTCACATTAAGCAAAATTTTTTTTAAAATGCAGTATTTTAAAACCCAGGGGTGAGTGAATGAAAAATTTTAACCTTAAAACCATCAGCCAGCAGTTTGGGGTTGGGGAGTGGAGCGAACCAGGAGGCCAAGGAAGGCTGCCATCCCATAACATGGAAGTAACGAATTGCAGGTAATCCGTTTGCATATTAGTTATTTAATTTGGGGGGCAATGAAATTATATTTGGAAATCAAGGTAAGTAAGTAAGAATAATGTCACTCTGCGGGTGCATCATAAGGGTGTGATGTTTACATGGCTCTTTTTCAGAGCTTGGGAAATGATAGGCGTTCAATGTCCACTTTCCCAGGATTATGGGACTTGCAGTCTCGTGCCATCAAAAAATAAAAGAGAGAGAGAGAGAAATGTTTTCATCCTCTGTTTTTTTCCCTTTCTGTCTGTTTTATGCAGAATAGTTCACAGTTCATGAAACACACGAAGCGGCGGAAGCTGACGGTGGAAGACTTTAACCGGGCTTTGCGCTGGAGCAACGTAGAGGTGGGCAGCGGGGCTGTGCTTTCTCGGAAGCAGTGTGGGATAGCGGTTAGGGCACTGGATAAGGGAGCTGTGGCTTCACTGCCCGGCCTGCCCATAAAGGTCACTGGCCTTCCTTGAGCCGTTCCCATCGTCTCAGCCTGGCACGAGGAAGAAGAAAAATCTACTTTAAAAAAAAAAGGATAGACACAGATACAGGATCAGACGCCCCTCTGTAGCTGTGAGCCATTTCTACTTTTGCAAACTGGAGGCAAACATGTGGAAACGGAGCCTCTCCTCTTGGGCCCATCAGGAGAAGGCAGGGTTTTCTGGAAAAGACAGTAACGATGGTAAAAATCGAAGGCGGTAGGAAAAGAGGAAGGCAAAACACTAGAGGGTTTGACTCCCTAAGGGAAGCCACGGGCTTGCATTTGCAAGAGCTGAGCAGGGGCTGTTGAGGACAAGGGCCTCTTATCAATAAAAGCAGATAGAGATAAAACAGAAGCCTTGCACTCACGGGAGGCCAGAGGCCGCCAGCTGCCGACTAAATTCGTCATGGATCCTGCCCTGTTGGTCACGAGACCTTTGTTAGCGCCCACCTGAATGCTAGGGAGGAAATTTGCAAGCTTTTCCAGTTCTCCTGAATTGGAGGGGATCTGAAACTCCTCTGGAGTAGACCTGGCCGCCCGTGGGTATGGCTTTCCTCCTTAGAGGTGATGAAAAGTATCGGCCAGAATCCTCTTCGTTCCTCCTCCTGAGGTGACTCTTATCAGCATAACTCTCAGCCACGAATTGCTGTGAGTGGAGAAGTCGGCGTAAGTATTTGCTGTCATGCACCGGTCTCTTGTTTTGGCACACCGCCGGGAATGCCTGCGCCGACTTCTTCTTTTATGCTGATTTGGTCTGAGTTGTGCCTGCAGAGCTGTGCGGGTGTATGTAAAAGACGAGGAAAGCACCCCCCCCAAAAAAGGAGCAAGCGAAGGGGTCGTCCATCCAGGACCTGTCCTGTCCTCTCTTGCAGGCGGTTTGTGGCTATGGCTCTCAGGACGCCCTCCCTTTCCGAGCCTTCAAAGAAGGAGAGCTTTACTTCCAGGAAGGCCGCGAAGTCAATCTCGTGGAGCTGGCCCTGGCCACCAACATCCCGAAGGGCTGCGCGGAGACGACCGTGAGAGGTGAGCGGCGTGGAGGGCACCGAAGGTTCAAGCGGGCCCGTGCGGTGGGTGGCATTTTCTCCCATTTTAAGAGGTAGAAATGCATTTCCCAAAGGTTTCGCTCCCAAAAATGAGGGCTCTAAGTTGAAATAGTTGTGGGTGTTTTTGGTCCTGACCCTTCGGCCCTCTTCCGCCCCAAGAACTTCTCCAAAGCTGAACTCGGCTCTCAAGCCGATGGAGGTTCTTTGCCCTTGATCTGTCCGGTTGGCCATGTTCTCTCAACGTTACCCGATGCTGTCGGGGATCTGACCTGTGGCACGTAGGTACCTTCTCTGTTTCTAACCCTCTCCTCTTTGAGCCTGGGTGCAGAGAAGGCAGGCCTGCAAACTGCAACAGAGATCCTAAACATTGGCCTGCAGAGAAGTAAATAAATCCAGTTGCTGACCCTCCCATTCTGCTTTTTCCAGTTCACGTCTCTTACCTGGATGGGAAAGGAAACCTGGAGCCACAAGGATCAGGTAGGAGCTATTTCTTCCTATGGGAAACACGATCCGTGTGCTTCCAGTCCTGCGAGGTAGGACAGAGGGCAAGATCTGTCTGTATTCCTCGGACGTGGGCTGCCGTGGCCCCTGTATCTGATGCCTGACTGCTTTGATTCTCTTCCTTGGTGCTTTCTGTCTCCAGTGCCCAGCGCCGTCTCCGTGCTGACGGATGACCTCTTGAAATATTACCAGCACGTCACCCGGGCCGTGTTGGGGGACGACCCTCAGCTGATGAAGGTAAAAGGGAACCCACCTCGGAGGGCAGGATCGTGCCCTTGTGTTCTGGGGGTAGGAAAGTCGAGCAGGAGGAGACGGTCCCATCTGCGGGATCTCAAGAAGAATCAAACAGGCCGAGCCCTGAAAGCTGGGAGGAGTTGGCCGGCGGTAAAGCAATTCGGAAGTGATAAAGAAATCCAGAAGCGCCTGCAAGGTGCGATCCAGGCTGGATGTTTGGGGTGACGTGGGCGTCCCCTGTCTGGCGCCTGACCTGCCACCAGAACAGTTGGGGAAGGGCTAGAGAGGTTTTGCTTAGATTTCTCAGCTTTGCAGGCGGGCGTTGCTTCTCCGGCAGGAAAGCCCAACGCAAAGCAAGCCTCTCTTCCTTTCCTGTCCGGTGGCTGCTCGTGTGGGCAACCTACGTATTTCTGAGGTTTTTAATTTAATATTTCTAGACAGTGGATAACGGAAGCTGCGGGTCCTGATTCCACAGAGACAGCAATCCTGCTTCAATGAAATGATAGTTCCACCGAGCATGGCAGTGATGGATGAAGCCTTGCCCACTCAAAAGTCCCTGGAGCAGTTTCGGTCTTTGCGCATCGTCGCTGCCTGGCCTAAAACAACCTTTGGGGGGTTCTTCCTGCTTAGGTCGCCCTCCAGGACCTCCAGACCAACCCAAAGATCGCCGCCCTCCTGCCTTACTTCGTCTACATCGTGAGCGGGGTGAGTGGGGACGGCTCGGGGGCCCAGTCCCTATACCTCTCTGTTTGGGGGGCGGGGGGTGAGAGAGATTCCCGTCATCCCTCCCCGTTTCTGGACCTTTTTTGGAGGATTTTCCACCCCCGTGCAGTAAATGCTGTCAGTCCATAG